GGTCTTAGTGAGATGAGCCTTCCTGAGAAATAAGATTCACGCTTTCGGGCTGGTCTTACAGTTGTGTCCATACAGTTCACACCCACCAAGTCCCAGGCCCTGGGCTAGCTTGGGGTTGCCCTGAAGGCTCACACTCACACCTGGCCTGGACCGCCTGCCCAGGAGGAAAGCCATTCCTGAAGGGGAGAACAGAGCAATTTAATTCTCTTACAAACACAGTTTCTAACTAACTGCCTTGAGAGGTCAGAGGAGCCTGGTGCTTCTGAGACTCCTAGGACACTATGCCAACCTCCCAGTCTCAGTTTCCCCAGCTCTGGGTAGTGGCCCATACTAACTCAGAGAAGCATCTAATGTCCCTAGGTACTAAGGAAAAGTACTGTCTGGTTCCCAAAGGGGGAGCTGGCCCAGCCCACAAGAAGGAATCTCGGGGGGACGTGGGGCAGGAGCTCGGGTCAGCCCTTCCCGTTCAGCTGAGAGAAGCAACCAGCTCACCACACATATGCTGCACCTGCCCCAGCTCAGGTCCCAAGGTGGGTACCAGGCAAGCGGAGGGCGAGCCCCTTTCATTGTTTCCTACCACACTGCCCAGTACTAAAGTAAAAACTCCTGCACATGGGCCTAGAGATGGGCTCCGGCTCATATCATAGACTCATTCCTCATGCCTCCCCCCGGGACCTTTCAGTCCAGCCACTGTGAGTTTTCTGGTCCCCAAAAGGCCAGCACATGCCATACTCTGTAAACTCTAAGACAGTATTCCCCACTCCCCTTTGCTTGCTTTATTCATCCCCATCCTAGACCTTACTTTCTCCAGGAAGCCTCTCCTGGTCTCCCAGCTTGGGGAAAGGTATCCCTATTAGGTGTCTGCTGGTTCTCCATCCCAGCATTTCATACACCTTAATAGAGCTGATTGGCCTTACTGCCTGCCTCCCTACTAGCTCTAGGAGGGTTGACTGGGCCTCGCTCCCTATTACTGCCTTTCCCTGGCATGAACATTTTAATAAATATTTGTGGAATGAATGAATGTATGAATGAATGCAAGGTTCTTGCCCTCAAGGAGCTCCTAGGCTGTTGAAGGAGTCAGACAATTAACAGGCCATTCGAGCAGAGGATCAGTGCCAAGGTGGGAGGCAGGGAGCATCCCCAGAGGAGCTTGGTGCCGCAGGCCCCACTGGCACTCCTGCATCTTTCCTGCCCAAGCCTGCTGGGGGTCCACTCACTCACCTCCTCCTTCCACCCCAAGCCACTGCGCTCCCATCCTGCCCTGGGCACACCTTATGTGCATACCCCTCCCACATCCCAGCCCAGGTGCTTCTGCATACTTGGGAGCTGAGCAGTTCTAATCTCTGGACCCTGGAAAGGTGACCCAGATTGGCAGGTCCAACCCCGGCCACCCTCAGGAGCTGGTCAGACGAAGATTCCTGAGCCGCCTCACACCTACTGAATCAGAGCGTATCGGGGTGTATCCCAACTTAATTTAACAAGCTCCTGGCATGATTCTGGAGTTCAGTCAGGGTTGGTTGTGAGGTATCAACGACCAGCCCACCCTCACATTAGGAGGAAAGTGTGGGCGGCAGCAGAATGACCAAGGCCTGCACTGATGAAGTTCTCATGGTCTCTCTTGGCTCCCCCCACCTCTATCCTCACACCGAGCTTCCTCCATACGAGTCTGAACCCCCCGAAAAGAGCAGCAATTTAGCCCAAGAAAATAAGAGCGCATCAAGTCACCCTATCTGCCATAGGACCCCGAAGATGCTCCCTCAGCCTGACTCGCACCCCGTCATTACTCCCAGCGAGCCCATACGCAAGAGTGCACCACATTCCTTGTGACTGTCCCTGAGTAAGTTTGGAGCAGAGGATGAAATCATGGAGACTGATACTTACGGAGCAGCGACTCCTACTCGATGCTCTCCCATTCTGACACTGACAGATCTGTCTATTTTTCCTTTGTAAATGGGTTTTTGGGGATCTTGTTGAACTCTCTCTCCACTCCAAATTCTAGAAGTTATTCTATGTTCTTATCGATTAGCTTTCACATTTAGGTCTTTAACTCTCTGGAATTTTTTATGTAGGGTGAGATAGAGATATAATTCTATTTCTCTTTCCATACTTTCATTAAGGCAATTTTCCACCATTACATACCAAAACAAAAAATCCCCCACCATCTTTCCCCCTTACTTATGAAGCTACTTTGTTCAAAAACCAGCTTCCCATTGGCACTTTGGTGTTTCTGGATTTGGCATTCTACTCCATCAGTCTGTCTGCCTGTTTCTGTGCCAGTGCCACACTGTTTTAATCACTGTGTTTTTGCAAAATGATCTGGGGTAGGGTTATTCCCTTTTGCTTTTCTTTTTCAAACTCATTTAGATAATAACAGGCATTTATTCTTCCACGTGAATTTTAGAATCAGTTTGTCAATCTTCAAAGAAAAAATCCTCCTGGGATTTTGTTATGTTTTTGAAGTTATAAATTAATTAATTTGTTGGAGAACTGATATCTTTATAATATTAAGTTTTTGCCATGAAGAGAATATTTCCCTTTATTTATTAACATTTTATTGTATTCACATTTAGGATCATAAACTTTAAAACTTTTTTCTATAAAAATTCTGTATATTCTTTGTTAGATTACTTTGTGGTTTTTGCAGTTATTAAAAATTATATTTCATTTTCTGGGCAATTTTGCTGAAATTTGTTAATAATTCTAATTGTTCAAGTGATTATCCTAGGTTACTGATATACCTTTGTAATCTTCAAATAATAATTTTTGTCTCCCTGTGCTTATCTTTCTTTTATTTTTTTTGTTTTACTTTGTGGCGGGACCTCTGGTGCATGTTAAGCAGTAGTGGTGACAGACAGCATTTCTATTTTCTTCCTGACTTTAAAGGGAAGCTCCTAAAGTTTTTCCATTAAGCATATTTTGACTATAGATCCTGGAGGACAGCATCTGTCAGATTGAAGAAGTTCTTTTGAATTTCTAATTTTCCAAGAGCTTTCATTAAAATGAGCAATGAACTATATTCGATACTTTTTTTTTTTTTTTTTAAAGATGACCGGTAAGGGGATCCTAACCCTTGACTTGGTGTTG